ACTTGGTAAATTGGGTTTTTCTACCATAAATTTCTATGGGACCAATTTTTGGGAAAAGTATTTCGGGATTTAAATTAAGGTTTTTGGAATTTTAGGCGGAAAAAATTAGGTTTTGGGGGGCAACCATTTCCTTCGGGGAGGGTAAAACAATTTTTTTTTTTAAAAGTTTTATTTTTGGCATATACAAATATAGGGTTTAAAATAGGGGGAAATGGCATTTACGGCTCCCCCGGGGAAATTGGTAGGTTTTGGGGGGATTCCTCCCGGCCTTTAAAAAAATTTGGAAAAAACCCCGAAACCCCCCCCCCCCCCCCCCTCGAAGCATATCGTGTGTCACACTCGTGGATTGTGCGATTTTTCTTCATTTTTTGCATGTGAAATGACATTGTTACCCCCAAAACCCTAGACCATCTCTCCCCTCTCCTCTCTTCTTCGTCTTCTTCGACTTCTTGTCCTTTTTTTCTTTGGAATAAATCTTCTCACCATGTTCATTAATGGATACTTCCAAACATTAATAGTACATGGGGTTTTTTGCTAATTCTATTATGATGGGGGGAATCGCGCAGATGCAATTTACACAGGGTTAGTAAATGCAATTCACTCATTAAAATATTTTCCGACTATATGTCTGAGTTTACTGCGTTCGGTACATTGGTTATATGTCGAATCGCTAGAAAAATGCAAAACAATTTATTTGGTCTGGCTCTGATACCATATTGAATGACCATCTCGACCAAAATGTTAAGCTGTTACTGAAATGTATCAGTTAATATTAATATCTTCAATACAGGTACCAAGATACGCCTGGAATTTGGACAAAGGAGCAAGTGGAGGCATGGAAGCCAATTGTCGACGCAGTTCATGAAAAAGGTGCCGTCTTTTTCTTGCAAATGTGGCATGTTGGCCGTGTTTCGACTTACGGTATGTGGAAATATTTACCAACTCATGTTAACAGTCAAAAATCTAATCTTTGTTGTCTCGTGTGGATTAGAATAAATAAATATGCCTTTCAATATTCAGGTTTTCAACCCAACGGGCAAGCTCCAATCTCGTCAACCGACAAGGGAATTACACCCGGCCTTGACGGAGTAGATTGGGCCCCACCTAGACGACTATCCAAGGATGAAATCCCTTCTATTGTCAATGATTTTAGGGTTGCCGCTCGCAATGCTATCGAAGCAGGTTTAATTTTGTGCATGCCTTCTCCTTAGTACATAAATTTCCTCAAAAATATAATAAAGGGTAAAAAAAAGAAAAAAAGAAAAAAAAATCAAGACAACGGCAGCCACAATTTATTTTTAATTTTTTTAAATTTTTAATTTTTTTTTAATAATCTTTTAAACTAGGAGGGGTGATTTTTTGTAATTTCAAACTTAGATCAAACGGTGTTTATAAGGTTAAATGTCTAAAAACTAACGGCGAGGACCACATTGAGACAATTTTTCAACTATAGGAGGGCAAATCGCTGCAATTGAGAGTAGCCACATAAATTTCCTCAAGCATATACTAAAACTATATATCAACTCACTATTTTCAATATTTTGTGCGTTATTAATTAGGATTTGATGGAGTTGAGATACACGGAGCAAATGGCTACTTAATCGAACAATTTCTCAAAGATCAAGTCAACGACAGGACCGATGAATACGGCGGGAGCTTGGAGAATCGGTGCCGATTCGCACTTGAAGTAGTTGAAGCAGTGACGAAGGAGATCGGTTCTAATAGAGTTGGGATTAGGCTATCTCCATACACCGATTTTATGGAGTCGGTCGACTCGGATCCCGATGCACTAGGCCTTCACTTGGCCAAAGAACTTAACAAATTCGACCTTGTCTACCTTCACATGATCGAACCGAGATTTAGTGGTGAAGTAGTTGCTCATGAGCTACTTCCCATTAGAAAGGCTTTCAATAATACTTTTATTGCTTCCGGCCCTTCCAATAGGAGGAAGGGTAATTTACCCATTTCTGAAAATTACGCGGATTTAGTCGCGTATGGACGCTTGTTTTTGGCTAATCCGGATTTGGTGAGAAGGTACGAGTTGGATGCTCCTCTAAATAAGTATGATAGGAACACGTTCTACACTCAAGATCCCGTTGTTGGTTATACTGATTATCCATTTCTTGAAGAAGCTAATTAATTAAAAAGTAATTATAATGTGTTTTAATTTTAATGTGTTATGCTTTGTGATATTATGAACTTCTTGTGTTCTTTTTCCTTGTATGTTGGAATGATGATTGTAAAAGGAGATAGTTGATGTTTGCCTATTTTTATTTAAAAAAAAAAATCAAGGTTTTATTGTTTATAGAGTTCTTGAGAATTCGGGGGCCTAATATTGAGAGATAAGATGGATATTAGATAAGATCGCTTGTCAAATTTGAAACAACAATGGATGAAATGGCAAAATCAAGTGATGTTTTAGAATATAAACAATGATTGCTGAAGTGAGTCAAAAAAAATGGTGTGTTAAACACTGTTCACCGTGTATAATTTGATAAGAAGTGATAAATTTTAACACAACAGCTGAAGTTGCTCTAAGTATCATAAGCTTGTCAATCTAACAAAACAAGCATAAAAAACATGTAACACACTTATAATTGTGCTAAATTGATTAAATAAATATGAATACACGAAGAATGTACTTTGACCCTTACAATAAAAAAAAAATAAAAATAATGTGTAGCCCTAGACCGCCTCCTCCGGTTTTTTTTTTTTTTTTTTTTGTAATGAAAGAACGCGCGACCTTCGTCGCCTTTCTCGATGTGTTTTTAATGGGTGTGTCCATGTCGAAATACGTACGTGTTCTTGTGCATTTTTAGGGAAAATTACATTTTTCGTCCTCAAACTTTAACCACTTTTTCGAAATTGTCCTTAAACATTTTCGAGTTACAATAGTAGTCCTTAATGATGCCATTTTTCAACAATTTTCGTCCTACCGTTAGTTTCTGCTGTTAGTTTGGATGGAAGTATGATGTGGAAATTATAAATATCATTGTAATTCATACTACATGAATGGTTAACCAACATGGCCACCCGTGTGCTTCTGTTGAGTTCGAGCAAAGCTTCGTCGGATGTTGCCATGCACACTATCACCAACCACCCAATTATTTTGCGGCAGAACCACCAAAAACACATCCATTTTAACTTTGCAAGAGAATCACCATGCACGCACATGACTCTCAAAATACCCATTTCGAAACCAACCAAGAATTGTGTTGAAGTTATTGTGATAATTTACAAAAAGAGTTAAAGATCTGAACTTAAAAAACACTTAGTCTTTGTTCAATAAGTCTATTCTTGGTTCTCTATCTTTGAAGTGAAATTTATCGTTTGACAATCGTTGAGTAGTTGTGTAAAAGAAATAAAAGACACTCACAACACACCACACACAACAGACGACACATCACACACCACACACCCACCACACAACACACACCACACACAGTTATAACCAACCTTCATAAACAAGATGACAGTGATGTTAGTGAAGAAATACGAAAAAAATTAATTCATTTGAACATAATCACTACCTCCATGCATGCTGTAAGTTTGGAATATTTTTAACAAAAGTTCCTGGAGCTTTTAGATGTGTTCACACCCAAGAAATTCTTAACTCAAAAAAAGAAACTGTTACATCTTTACTTTATAATTAATAATTGTTGCCTATGGGGGACAAATTGCTTCATCTCGTACTTAGTTGGTTCATATGGTTTTTTTGTTTTCTTTTTTTAATTTTTTTGGTTCTCAAATGCTCTTATAAGACTGATTTTAATGTACGTGTATTAACACACAAGTACGAGAAGAAAGCAACAAGACAAAGGGGAGCGAGTTGAAGAACGAAGCAACTACAAGGATTGCAATGTACGAGCTCAACAAAGTGGACAAAAAAAGTTCAGAATTGGAGAGGCGCTTGTGATATGATGTATCTTCCTTGGTGCTGCAGAGTGCAGAAATGGAGAAACAGAGAAGTGTGGCAGTGTAGAGAAATGGGTATGTTGCGCCTACTACCTACAAATTTCCAGTTCATTACATTTTTCAACAAAACAATTGTCCACGTGTATTAGTTGGTCATATAAGTTGGTCCACGTTTCAAGTCCACGTCATACTTCCATCCAAACTAACAGCAAATCTAACGGTAGGACGAAAATTGTAGAAAAATGACATCATTAGGGACCACTATTGTAACTCGAAAATGTTTAGGGACAGTATTGAAAAAGTAGATAAAGTTTGAGGACGAAAAATGTAATTTTCCCGCATTTTTATTTTATTTAATTGTGCATACATACTTTTGTGTGTGCACATGGTGTGTGTGTGTGTCTGTGCGATGCTTTTTAATCTATAGCATGTGTAGAGTGTGTGTGCATGTGCTCCTGTGTATACTCTTTTAATGTGTGTATGTACTATTGTTAATATGTGTGCATGTTTTTTTTTTATTTTTTTTTTGTTTAAACAATGAATTAAATAAAAGTAATTTGGGGAGGAGAGTCTCTGCTTTTTTTGGCTACATTAGTTAGATGTTACATCTGATTATTTCTTATCCAGTCGTTCTCATCAATGAATTAATATATACATTATACAATACAAAACAGGAATCCAATTTTACAAATTCTTAAAACTCGCCTAGGGCCCTCAATTTCTCAGGAACGACCTTAGTTGGCATGAGGGAAAATTACAGTTTATGTCCCTAAACTTTACCACTAAAACGATTTATGTCCTCAAACATTTCAATCCACGAAATATGTCCTCAAACTTGCCATTTTTGATCACTTTATGATCTGCCGTTAACATCAGCAGCTAACTTCGACGGAAATAGCACACGTGGCTCACGTGACGTCTATGTGGCCGTTAAATGTCGAGATGTACAACACCCAATGCCTACTTGGTCGACGAAACGTGATGTGGAGCGCCACATCATTCTCCTCCCCTATTTCTATTCTAAAATCCCTAATTATCCATATCCCCAATGAACCCGTAAATCCAATCCCTAAAAACCCAATTCGAATCCTTCAATTGAGATGAAATTCGAAAATAGCAGAATCGTCTGTGAATCCATGGCTATTTTTCGTGGTGTTTTACCAGCAAATGCCGAATGTTTCATCGATTTTACTTTCATCTTCGGGCTGAAAAATCATGTATTCTTCCACTTCGTTGGGGAAGTCGGGGAGCTGGAATTCGTTCTTGGGCACTCTATTCTTGGCGAAAAAAGAATTATATGCAGCTTTGACAAGTGCTGCATGTTTTTTTTTTTCCGGAATTGGTTCAGACATTTTGTCGAACACCTTCTGGACAGGTTCTGAAACTGCTGAGTTGGGTAGAATTTGTGCCATCTTCACCATCCTTGTGCTTGCTTCCTCGAGACCACAAGGGGCACAAGCATCAGCAGGTGAAAAATCACACGACCCAGCGTTCTAGAGACGAAGTTGGGAGAAGAATTAAAGCTTCCTCTAATTTTTTTTGCACGTGAATCTGTTGTTCTTTAAGAAGGGAAAAACTCTTCAAATGTGAGAATGTTTTGACTTTTTATGGGTTTATGACTTCGATTTTAGTATGGGTTCAAGCAAGAATGGAGATTGAATTGAAAATTTGGGAATGGGAATAAAACGTGATTTGGAATTTGGGATTTGGGAGAGTGAATTAGAGGAAATTAGTATATTCTTGTGCCACGTCACATTTAACGGCCACATAGACGTCACGTGTGCATTTTCCGTCGAAGTTAGCTGCCGACGTTAACGGCATAACATAAAGTGATCAAAAGTGGCAAGTTTGAGAACATATTTCGTGGATTGAAATGTTTGAGGACATAAATCGTTTTAGTGGTAAAGTTTAGGGACATAAACTGTAATTTTTCCGTTGGCATGATGGTTTGGCTTAGTTGCAAGGGAAAGTTTATGTTTGCCTTTTTTTTTGGTAAATAACTTTTTAATTGTGTGCGTAACGTTTGTGTGCATGTATGTCTACGTGTGCGTTCTTGTGTGCGTGTTTGTGTGTATGTACGTTTGTATGTGAGCAATGGGTGATAGTTTGTGTGTGTGGTGTGTATAATATGTGTTCTTATATGAACTGCGTGTATAGGATGCGATAGGCGTAATACCTACTTGCAAAAACGAAAGATGCGCGATATCATGTTCTATAGAACATAGAATTCTGAATATTTTCCTTAAAGAAATAGCTCTGAATTAATAAGTATTGTAATTATATTATGCTAAACTTTATCTAGACGAACGAATTTTGATGATGTAACTATTGAAATAACTAAAATAGTTGGAATATGATTGATCACAAATTCACAATAGTTATCGTAATCCCTCTTTTTAAAGGATTTTAGTGATCACATATACTATATATTTCAATGTATTTTATTATAATTAAAGTCTATAAATATTTAACTATTTTGTGTTATTTCCTATGAATATTATTTTAAAGAATTTGATGAAAATGCTGTCGAACCTCTTAAGACATTTAGCCAATCATCTAAATTTGTCGGCCCCTTAATCATATGAAATTGAGTTTTAGTTCTATACGAAATCAAATAAATATCGATCGGTCAAATGTACAAATTCAAACCACGAATGTTCACGTCGGTGCCCAAAAGGAATTTTATCTCTGATTGATCAATTTGTCACCATAAAAATATGAAAATGACCATAATATCCAAGGGCGAACCCAGACTATATTTTACGAGAGGCGGATTTTTTCGGAAATAATAAATGTAACCGTAGCCCCGTAGGTAATTTTTTCTGGAGTTCGGCGCCCCCGGTTTATTCATAGAGTTATTCCTAACAAGTTGCTACTATAAAATTTTGGGGGTGGGGGGACACATATTCATA